CTTTTTTTTTTTGCTTTTTCGAAAAGCTTGTTGGTGGGGCCCCCTCCATTTCTTGGGAAACTTGATAAAAGTTAAAAGAATTGGTCCCTTTGTTTTTTACTTCCAAGTTTAGGGGGCCTTTCTTTTGGGCAAAACGTTAACAAAGGAAAGATTAAAAACAACCCCTTTTTCGTTTGGGATGGGGGAAAAGGTTTCCTAAGGTTTTAAATCCAGGGGGGGAGGGTAAAAAAGGCCCCCAAATTTGTTTTGTGGGTCCGTTGCTCATGTAAAAAAACATGTTTTTTTCACCCTTTTGAGTTGCCATTTTTTCTAAACAACTTGTTTTTTGGAAGGGGCCCAAAGGCCCCAGCTGTCTTTTCCTTTTCCTGGGATGGGGAAGGAACAAGGGACTCAAGAGGGATAAAGGAGGCCTTAAGCGCCCATTGGGTTTTTTTTTTGGGCCTTTTTGCAGGTGTTTGGGCCAAGGAAGGCCCGCAGGGGGACCCAGCGGTTGGGGCCGCCCCTTCCCCCAAGCTTTCCCTCTTTTAAAGCTTTCGGGGGGGGCCCTTTTATGCTGTCCCCCCCGCCCAAGGGGGGCCCCCCAGGGGGAAAGGGGTTCCACCTTGCGGACCCCTCTTTTTGTGGCCTGGCCAGGGGACTTCCTCCTTCAGCCCAACCTTGGCCCACTGAGACCAGGTTGCAAAGGGCCTGGGCCAAGGCAGGGGGAACCCCCAAAGCCACACCTAAGGGGGCCCTTATTAAGGGGAATGTTGTGAAAAACAAGGGGGGGGGGGGAACACCACCTTTGTTTTTTCCTTTCTGAGGTCCGTTTCCCCCAAAAAAAACCCCTTCCTTCGCCAGGGGGGTAACTTTTTCTTAAATTTGGGGGGTGTTTTTCCCCCATTAGCAGGACGGTTGCTAATTTTGGCAATTTCACAAGCGTTCTCTGAAAAATGAAAAACGCCAAAGGGGGGGAACCCCAAAAGGCCGCCTTTCTTCCCAAATCCTCCCAAAAGGGCCTTGGGGGGGGTCCTCCTAGGCAGGCCTCTTGTATTTACTCAGGAGGTTAAAAAATTTCAACATGGATTTCCATTGTTTGGCATTTCGCTTGCCCTTACGGGACCGGCCTCCAGGGGGGTGACAAGGAACCCAGGGGGCAGAAGGGGGCCCCCCCAGTTACAAAAACAGGGGGGCAAGGTTGCCAGGGTTCAAAAAAATTGGGGGTTGGAGGGCCCAGGTGTTCGTGGGTTTGGGGAGGGCTTGGGGGGGATCTTGTAAGGGGCCTATTGCGGTCTTTGGTTGGAGGGGGATCAAAAAAAACCACCCCCATATTTTTTTGGCTGTTGGGGGGAAGGGAAAAAAAACCCGGATCTCTGTCCAACATAGGATTTACTGGAAAAGGGAATTAATTGAAGGGGCAGGAGAGAGGGGGGGGAAAAAAAAAACCAAGGGTGGGTGGAGTTTGGGTTTTGTCCTGTGGTTAAAAATTAAACACAATTTAAAAACGGCAAAAAAAAAAAAAAGGGGGGGGGGGGCCAAGTTGGTTTTTTTTAAAAAAAAGTCCTTTGAGGTTTTGGTTTTCCGGTTCCGTTCTTTTTTTTTTTTTTTTTTTTTTTTTTTTTCAAAGGGGAAGGGGTTTTCCTCCCCAACAAACCTTTTTTTCCTTCGGCCCCCCCCCAGGGGGCTGGAAAGTGGCAAGTGGCAAATAATCTTCCGGGGGGGGTTTTCCAAAACCTGGGGCAAAACCCTCCCTCCCCAAAACCTTTTTTTTTTTTAACCCCCCCAAAGGGGTTCAAAAAGTGATTTTTTCTTCCTTGGCCCCCTCAAGGGGGCTTTCCCCAAAAAAAAAAAATAAAAAAAAAAAAAAAAGGGCTGGGGACCTTACAGGCGGGGAACCCACGGTGGGGGACCCCCCAATGCCCTGGGGCTCAAAAAAATTATTTTGGTATTTTTTAAAGTAAAGAAAAAAAAAAAAAAAACCCAAAGGGGGGGGGTTTTCTTCATATTTGGGGCCCCCCAAAAGGGTTGGGGTTTCTCTCTTCGGAAACTTTTTTCCCTGGGGGGGGGGGGAACCCCCCCTTTTTTTTTTCCAAAAAAAAATAGGTGATTCCTTGGGGGGGGGCTTTTTTTTTTTTGCCCCTTTTTTTCAGCCTTTTCCCATTTCTCCTTCTTCTTTTTCCCCCCTCCTCCCTTTTTTTTCCCGGTTTTTTTTGTTTTGTTTGGTTTGAAAGGGAGAGGATTTTTTGGGGGGAAGGGGGCTGGAAGGCCAAAGGGGGGGGGGCCCAGGGATCCCCCCCACTTTTTTGAGGGGGTTCAGGGGGAGGGTTTTCCGAAGGGTGGAAAACCCCGCAAAAAAAAACCTGGGGGGGCCCCAATAATTGAAGAAAAAAAAAAGAACCCTGGGTTTTTTTCTTTACCTTTTAAAAAAAAAAAAAAAAATTTACCCCCCCCCCCCCAATTTTTTAATTAGGGGGGCCAAAGGGGGCCCATTGGTTTCGGGGTGGGGGGGGGTCCGCTTGTAAAGGGGGGTCCCCAAAAAAAAAGGCTTAAAACCCCCTTTTGGGGGGGAAGGCCCCTTGGGGGAAAAGGTGCAGGGGGGGGGAGGAAAATTTCCCACTTTTGGGGGGGTGAAACCTGGGTAAAAAAAGTGGAAAGGTTTTTTTTTTGGGGCAGGGTTGAAATAACCCGGAAAAAGAATTATTTTTTTTTGCCCCCACTTTTTTTTTTTGGCCCACTTCCAAGGCCCTTGGGTGGCCGGAGGGAAGTTGAGGGAACTCTGGGAAAAAAAAAAAAAAAAAAAAAAAAAAAAAAAAAAAAAAAAAAAAAAAAAAAGGGGACGGACGGGGGGAACCCCCCACTCAAGGGACTTATCCCAAAAACTTTTGGGGGGGCCATTTTTTGGGGGGGGCCCTTTTTATTGTGGGTAAAATTTTTTTTTTTTAACAACCAGGGGGACCCCAAAACCCCCCCAAAAAAAAACCCCCCTCCCACCCAACCCTTGGGGGTTTTTTCCTCTTTCCCTTTTGGCCCCTTTTTCCATTATTCCTTTTTTCAGTTAAAATTTCTAATTTGTTTTTGGGGGGACCAGAGAATTCCGCGGGTTTTTTCCTCCCCCAACAAAAAAGGGCATATTTTGGTTTTTTTTTTGGGGGTTTGGGGGGGATCCCTGCCAAAAAAAAAACCCCCCCCCCAAAAGGGGAAGGGGGCATAAGGGGCCCTAACAAAAGGGGAATTCCCAGGGCCCTTTTTTCCAAACACGAAAAAAAAAAAAAAAAAAACCAAACCTGAGGGGGGGGGGGGGCCCCCCTTCCCCCATTTTTTTTTGGTGACTGGGGGGCCAAAAGGCCCTTTTTTTGGCCTGGTTTTGGGTTACTGGGGGGCGCTTCGCGCCCTGGGGTCCTGTCACTCCCTGAGGCGTCCTAGGTGCAGGATGCCAAAAGGATCCATGTCGATTTTACTCCTGAGTAAATAAACAGAGGGCTGCTATGGAGGCCCCCAGCTGAGCATTGAGACGGAAAGGCTGTCGTCTGGGTTTCCTCCTTCAGAGACGCTGTGATCGCATTCAGCAGTCTGCTAATGGAAACAACCCCATTAGGAAGTCCCTGGAACGGGGGTTTATGGGAACGGACTCGAAAGGAACAAGCGTGGTGTCTGCCTGCTTCCATTCTTGCCTTAGGTGCGTCGTTCTGCTGCCCAGGCTGCACTGTCTCAGTGGGCCAGGTGGCTGAGGAGGAAGTCTGCAGCCACAGAGGTCGCAAGTGACTTCCCTGGGGCCTGCGGGGACAGCATAGGCCCGAAGCTAGAGGAAGCTTGGAAGGGCGCCACGCTGTGGTCCTGCGGGCTCTGCACACTGCAGCCCCATGGCGCTAGCTCCTTATCCTTCTGGAGTCTGTCTCATCCAGGAGAAGACAGCTGGCTGGCCTCACAGTGTTAGATGCAACTCAAGGGTGAAAACATTTTTACATGGCACGGACACACAATGGGCTTTACCTCTGGATAAACTTAGAAACTTTCCATCCAAACGAAAAGGGTGTATCTTCTGTACGTTGCCAAGAAGCCTAAACTGAGTACAAGGACAATCTTACTTTAATCAAGTTCCAGAATGAGGGCACACAGCTTCAAAAAGCAGTCTGGAGCAGAAGATGCAAGGGTGTGTGTAAAGCCATGTTTCTAGAAGATACCAAAGGAAACACACCCAACCCCAGGGTGGTCTTTTGCGAATCCTCGATGCTGCTCCATACCGGGGCAGGTGGCTACTTCGTCCAGCTGACTTTGGGAATGTCATAATGCTCCGTGAGTGTATCCAGGTGTCTGTTGAAGTCCTGGGAAAGTGGAGTAGAAGGCTGGTGTCAGCGCAGACCCAAGTTGGGTGCTGGGGGAAATGGCACTGCCAAGCCCCACCTCTCCCACATCCTCTCTCCTGAGCCTCGTCCTCTCAAACTCACCCTGCCAGGTGTTACAGACTCCTGAACCCTGGGCTCCCCTTTGAAGAACCCTGGGGAAGTGTCACTTCTGTTAGGTAAACTTCCCTTCTCGTCAACATGCCAATGGCTCCCTCTGCCAGGCTGTTAGCCTCTGGGCCCAGCTGGGACCCTGAATGGCTCAGTCTCCCCAACTGGACACGGCAACTCACCTCCACTCTCTGCTTGTGGGTTTTGGATGCTTTCTTTAGGATCCTTTCCATTTGCTGGAGACAGAAAAGACACGGAGGTGAGTTTACAGGCTCAACACAGCCCCGGCTGACATGGGATGGAAGATGGAGCCCCAGCCAGCCTGGCTCCCACGTTTAGAACAGCTGGAGGTTTCAGGCTGTATGTCTTGTCCCCCTCCCTCAACTCCAACCAGGCTGGTCCAACAGGGAACCCAGGTCAGTTGCCAGCTTCGTGAGTGGCAGGAAATGAACCAGCAATGCCTGAGCGTGTACCCATGAGCAGCCTCTGCTGGGAGCTGTTGGCATGCTTCCTGCATCCCGAGGTGGCTGTTAGCACTGCCAGTTTGGAGGAGAACAAAGTCCTAGAGCGGGTTTGAGGAATGATGAGAAAGAGAGAGGTAAAGGGCCCGACACAGAGCAGGTACTCAAGTGACACTTCCCATCCTGATGTTAGGGCTACAAGACCAGGATCACCATCCCTAGGGTTATTCTGAAATATGCCTCCTGCACCATGACCTGCTCTGATCCTCACTTCAAACACTCAACGACAGCTGCAAACGTCAGTATTTTGTAGCAGCTTGGAGTGTGGGCTGGGCGCAGTGGCTCATGCCTGTAATCCCAGCACTTTGGGAGGCTAAGGAAGGAGGACCGCTTGAGCTTAGGAGTTTAAGACTAGCCTGGGCAACATAAGGAGACCCCAACTCTATAAAAAATCAGCTGATTGTGGTGGTACGCGCCTATGGCCCCAGCTACTCGAAAGGCTGGGGTGAGAGGATTGCTTGACCCAGGAGGTTGAGGTTGCAGTGAGCTATGATCACACCAATGCACTCCAGCCTGGGCGACAGAGTGAGAGAGACCCTGTCCAAAAAAAAAAAAGAGTTGGGAGTGTGGGATATAAAGCCAGACAGATCTGAGGCCACACCTGGCTCTAGGCTTCTGGCTGGGTGCCTGTGGCCCACTCTCTGGTGGCCCCTATGAACCGTGCTGCCTATGATTCATCCCTCGTGCAGTCCCTGTGCCACGCTGACTCTGACCTGGCCGTGGACTCAGTTAACTCAAAGGAACGCAGTACCAGTTCTGGGTCCATGCATAAGACCTGGCAGCGTTAGCTTTGTGCCCTTGGAAGCCAGTTGCTGTGTAGGAAGTCTGATGGCCCTGCTGGAAAGAAAGGACCTGGAGGATGAGATGACATGAAGGAAGAGGCCACAAAAGAAGCACTGACAGGTGGGGCACGGCAGCTCACGTCTGTAATGCCGGCACTTTGGGAGGCCGAGGCGGGAGGATCACTTGAGGTCAGGAGTTCTAGACCATCCTGGCCAACATGGTGAAACCCCGTCTCTACTAAAATACAAAAATTAGCTGAGTTTGGTGGTGCGTCCCTGTAGTCCTGGCTACTTGGGAGGCTGAGTCAGGAGAATAGCTTGAACCTGGGATGTGGAGGTTGCAGTGAGCTGAGATAGTGCCATTGCACTCCAGCCTGGAGCCTGGGCGACAGAACGAGACTCTCAAAAAAAAAAAAAAAAAAAAAGCACTGAGGCACCAGCTATATGGCGGCAAAGCCATCTTAGATGCTCCAGCCCAGATGCACCTTCAGAGACTCCAGGCCCAGCTGCCATCTGACTGCACCAGACTCCAAGTGAGGTCAGACCCTGCTGAGCCCAGTCAACCCAGAGCATCATGAGATATTATTGGTAGGGGCCACCTGGCTGCTCCTCTCTGTCCCCTGTCTTCTCCTTCATTCCCTCCTCACCTCCTTCTGTGTCCACTCAGCCCTCACCTGGCTGATTCTCCCTCTAAGGCAAGCACCCTGCTCATCTCTGTCCCTCTACCTGCTGCTGCGAGCCCAGCTGAAGCCTGTGTCTCCTCGTGAGAAGCCACACTGACTTGTCCAGCTGCCACACAATGCCAGGCACCTGGCTGGACTCTGCCCACAGGCGTGACATCCAGCTAGTATTTTAGTTTTTGCAGATACAGGGTATCGCTATGTTGCCCAGGCTAGTCTCGAACTCCTGGGCTCAAGCGATTTTCCCACATCGGCCTCCCAAAATGTTGGGATTACAGGCATGAGCCACCATGCCTGGCTGACTCCACTTGGATTTTTACTGGGGCACTGCATTTACCTTCTTTAAAACTATAGCTTTGGTTTCCCCTCCCTCGACTCCCACTCCAGAAAACGTGCTTTATCTGCAATCCTTCCCACCCCAGTAAACAGCACCTTCATTCATCAAAGTGCCCAGCCCAAAGTCTTGGTCATCCTTGACTCTTCTTTCTTTCCCAGCTTACATCCAATCCAACAGCTAACCCTGAATTCATCCTTGAAAACCTATTCCAAACCTGTTACCTTCCACTGACTTCATCACGACTGCTCTACTCTGAACTCCCATTATTAGTCTCTTGATAGCTGCATCAGTCTTTCATTCTGGCTCCAGCAATAAAATCTCAGCCCTGCCTCTGACTACAGCCTCAGGGTTAGAAGGGACAGAAATGCATTCACTTGGTCAGGCATGGTGGCTCATGCCTGCAATCCCAGCACTTTGGGAGGCCGAGGCCGGCGAATCACTTGAGGTCAGGAGAGCGAGACCAGCCTGGCCAACATGGTGAAGTCCCATCTCTACTAAAAATACAAAAATTAGCTGGGCATGGTGGCAGGCACCTGTAGTCCCAGCTACTTAGGAGGCTAAGGCAGGAGAATCGCTTGAACTCAGGAGGCAGAGACTGCAGTGAGCCGAGATCACACCTCTGTACTCCAGCCTGGGCAACAGAGCAAGGCTTTGTTTCAAAAAATTTTAAAAAGGCCGGGCATGGTGGCTCATGTCTGTAATCCCAGCACTTTGGGAGGCCGAGGCAGGCGGATCACCTGAGGTCAGGGGTTCAAAAACAGCCTGGCTAACATGGTGAAACCCTGTCTCTACTAAAAACACAAAAAAATTAGCCGGGCATGGTGGCAGGCGCCTGTAATCCCAGCTGAGGCAGGAGAGCTTGAACCCAGGAGGCAGAGGTTGCAGTGAGCCGAGATCAGCCACTGCACTCCAGCCTGGGTGACAGAGCCAGACTCAGTCTCACTGAGATGGAGTCTCACTCTGTTGCCAGCCTGGAGTGCAGTGACGTGATCTCAGCTCACTGCAACCTCTGCCTCCCAGGTACTGGTTCAAGCAATTCTTCTGCCTCAGCCTCCTCCCAAGTAGCTGGGATTACAGGCGTGTGCCACCACATCCGGCTAATTTTTGTATTTTCAGTAGAGACAGGGTTTCACCATGTTGGCCAGGCTGGTCTTGAACTCCTGACTTCGTGATTCACCCACCTGACTTGTTAAATCTTTACCACAACTCTGTGAGGTAGACTTTACTGCTACTTTAACTAAACGGTAACTGGCTTGCCCAGTTACACCACTAATTCGTGGTAGAGGCAGAGTCAAACTCAGGTCTGTCTGGCCAGAGGTAGTGCACCCATGTGTTTTCTGTATGCCTGAATTAGACCTGGGATTAAGGAGTTAATTGTCCCAGTGTCCCCAATGTCCATTTTCCCCAGTGTCACCGTACAGAATCACCTAGACCAGGGTTAGGGTTTCTCAGCCTCAGTGCTACTGATATTTGGAGCCAGATCATTCTTTGCTTCAGCGGGTTATCCTGTGTATTACAGGGTGTGAAGGATCATCCCTGGCCTCTAGCCACTGTTGCCAGCAGTCCCCACCCCAACTCAGTTGAGAACCAAAAATGTCTCCAGACATTGCCACATGTGCTTAGCGGTGGGGGTTTGTGGGGTGGAGACTACTCCCAGTTGAGAATCACTGACCTGCACTGATTATTCTGTCTCCCTAGCATAATGGACCCACTTTATCTATTTTACTATGAACTCTTCTGTTCTCCACTGCACACATTGTGTTTAATATCAAGAAGCAATCATTTATTGGAGCCTTAAATACAATACAAACAAAGTCGTCATGGGCATGGCCATTCAACATCAACAGCTGAGACTGGGTGCGGTGGCTCACGCCCGTAATCCCAGCACTTTGGGAGGCTGAGGCGGGCGGATCACTTGAGATCATAAGTTCGAGATCAGCCTGGCCAACATGGTGAAACCGCGACTCTACTAAAAATACCAAAATTAGCCGGGTGTGGTGGTGGGCGCCTGCAATCCCAGCTACTCGGGAGGCTGAGGCAGGAGAATTGCTTGAACCAGGGAGGCAGACGCTGCAGTGCTCTGACTCCACCAAAAATAAATAAATAAATAAATATAAACAACATGTTTGAATCTGCCCAAGTTGTCTTGGAAACAAACTTTGTGGTGACTTCGAGCGGTGAGCATGGCCATTTAATATCAAGAGCTGGCATCCACTGAGCATTTACGCACTGCCTTTTACTTTCATGACTTCCTCCCGAATTCCCAACCCTCTTAGAATAAATTACTACCCTGACTCCTACAGAGAAGTAAACTGAGGCACGGAAATAAGAAAGTCACTGGCCTAGTGTCGCAGGGCAAATGAGCCACAGCACTGGAATCCAAACCCGGGTCTCCAGCTCTGGCCTCCTTTCAACGCCAGTTCTAGCTCTCCCCTCTGCTGCCCACTAGGGCCAGCGGGGTCTCCTCATCCTTGGCGCTCCCCCGGCAGAGGGCGACTCTTCTCTCACTCACGCACAGCATCATCTCCCCGTAATTAAGGTCTCCTCTGACCGCTCCCCTGCTCTCCGAGCGCCCCAGCCCTGACTCCAATTTCGAGTCTCCCGGCGCCGGGTGTCCCCGCCCTCCTCGCCGCCTTCTGCTTTTGCTCACCCGCTTCTCCTGCATTTTCTCGAAGGCCGCCTGGGCCGGGGTCCGCTTGTCCAGGCCGCGCCGCTTCTCCTCCTCGTTCTTTTTGCTCGTTCCCATTGCTTCCAGGAGTTTCGCTTTGTCTTTGTCCTTCTTTTTCTTCTTCCTGGAAAAAGACACGAGGAGGGGGCGGGTCAGAGGGTCAGGACCAGGGGTCCAGATAAAAGGTCTAAGGGGAGTGAAGACGGAATCCCGCGGGCCCTCGGGCCTCACCGCTTGGTCACTCCCAGCTCTGCGACGCCTTTCAGCTTCAGGGGTCCCTTTTGGACCTGCTCGTAGGCCTCCATAACACCCTCCGGTGGTTCGGCAGATGTACTGCCACACTTCCTGTTTGCAAACACTATTTCCTCCTGAATGCCCGCCTCACTTCTCTTTGATTGGCTGAGCTACAAGGTGAGCATGCGCTCTTAGTTCTGGAGCTGGGCCACACTTCCGGATAGTGGGCGGGACAGAGAACCAAGGGAGGGAGTGCCCTTCGCATCCTGTCTGCTGCCACACTTCCGTAATTGGCGCCCACTTCCGGTCTTCAGTTCTTCAGACAGGGTGATGGAAATCCAACCCCTTTTTGAGGGTTTTGCACACGTTTGGGTGACCTATTCTCTCTCCTTGATTTTTTTTTTTTTCTTTTTTAGAGACATGGTCTTGGTCTGTTGCCTAGGCTGGAGTGGAGTGGCGCGATCGTAGCTTACTGCAGCCTTGAATTCCTGGGCTCAAGAGATCCTCCCACCTCAGCCTCCTCAGTAGCTGGGACTACAGACGGGCGCCACTGAGCGCGGCTAATATTTTCATTTAATTTTTTTTTTGTCGAGATGGGATCTTGCTATGTTGTCCAGGCTGGGCTCGAACTTCTGGGTTCAAGCAGTCCTCCGGCTTCAGCCTTCCAAAGCACAGGGTCACAGGCCTGAGCCACGAGCACTGCCCCCGTTCTTTTATTGCCATATTCTGAGCGTTCAATGGATAGCTGGGCCTAATTTTGTAAACCTAATCAGTATCCATTAATTTTTCAGCTTTAGGTAAATGACAATATTATGTGACAAGGTTGGTGGTGTGTTAAAACAATTAAAAATCTATTTTATGCCAGGCGCAGTGGCTCACATTTGTAGTCTCAGCACTTTGTGAGGCCGAGGTGGGCGGATCACGAGGTCAGGAGATCGAGACCGTTCTGGCTAACAGCGTGAAACCCCGTCTCTATTAAAAATACAAAAAATTGGCTGGGTGTGGTGGCATGCGCCTGTAGTCCCAGCTACTTGGGAGGCTGAGGCAGGAGAATCGCTTGAACCCGGGAGGCGGAGGTTGCAGTAAGAGCTGCAATTAACAGAACACCAAGCAGTTTCTCCAAGCTGTGCCCTGTTCCCAGAGGTTACAGGTCGCACGCACTGAGATTTCTGCCACCTTTGCCATATCACTCATAGCCGTGGGTGCGAACACCAGTGAGACTCCCTCATCCAAAACACAACAAACAAAACAAACAAACAACAACCAACAACAAAAAACCATTGGAGGACAGCAGGTCACAAGGCGTTATATGGCAGCCTGGTCTGTTCATCCTCTCCACGGCAATTTACATTTTAACATTTATTCTAATTTAACTTTAATTTAATTAATTTGTTGAGACAGAGACTCACCCTGCACCCCAGGCTGGATGCAGTGAGCGCAATCTTGCCACTGCAACCTCCACCTCCAGGTTCAAGCAACTTTCCTGCTCAGTCTCGTCCAGGTACGTGAGGACAGTGGTGTGCACCTACCACCGATCTACCTTTTTTTTTTTTTTTTTTTCTTGAGATGGAGCTCCTTGCGTCTGTCATCCAGCGCCTGAGTGCACAGTGGCCTGATCCGACTCACTACCAACCTCTGCTTCCCATGGTTCAAGCGATTCCTC